ATGATGTGTCTTGGTGTGGTCCTCTTTGGATTCCTCTTGTTTGGGGTTCTCTGCACTTCCTGGACTTGTAAGTCTATTTCTTTTACCAGGTAGGGGAAGTTTTCTGTCATTGTTTCTTCAAATAGGTTTTCAATATCTTGCTCTCTCTCTTCTGGCACCCCCATAATTTGGATGTTGGTACACTTGAAGTTGTCCCAGAGGCTCCTTACACTATCTTCATATGTTTGGATTCTTTTTTCTTTTTGCTTTTCCGGTTAGGTGTTTTTTGCTTCTTTATATTTCAAATCTTTGACTTGATTCGTGGGATCTTCTAGTCTGCTGTTGAATCTTTGCATATTTTTCTTTATTTCAGTCAGTGTATGCTTAATTTCTGATTGGTCTTTTTTCATATCCTTGAGGGTCTCACTAAATTTCTCAGAGGTTTCTAGAAGATTCTTGAGTAACCTTATAACCGTGGTTTTGAACTCTATATCCAGTATTTTGCTTTCATCCATTTCTTTTATTTGTGACTTGTTTCTTTGTCTCCGCATTTTGGCTGCTTCCCTGTGTTTATTTCTATGTACTGGGTAGCTGCTAAGTCTCCTTGAGTTGATAGAGTTGCCTTGTGTGGTAGTTGTCCTATAAGGCCCAGTGGCTCAGCCTCCCCAGTCACCTGAGGTGGATGCTCTTGTTGCACCCTTTTTTGGGCTGTTTGCACAGTCTTGTTGTAGTTAACCCTTGATTGCTGTTGGTATCACTGGGAGGAATTGACCTCCAGGCCAATTGGCTGTGGGGACCAGCTGAAACTACAGTGGGAGAGCTATTGTGAAGGAGACACCCTTATGGGGCAGGACTTACTTCAGTGGGGCTTGGGCGCTCACTGAGTCTTCCCCTTGAGTGTGTCCCTTATGGATGTGAAGAGTTGTAATCCGTTATGGTCTTACTCTGACCACTGGGTACACTGGCTCTTGGATCTCCAAGGAGGTGCAAGGTCTGCCGCTGTCTGGGGCCGCCCAGCAGGAGCTGCAGAGACTTCTGCAGATTACTCCTCTTTGTATGGGGTTTGGAAGTGCCAAGACAAGGCCCAACTCTGAAGCAAGGCAGGCTGCTGCTGCTGGGCCTCAGACCTTCTTTTGGAAGCTCTGGGGCTCTCTGACCCAGCTGTAGTTTGACAGGTTTTAAGCAGAGAAAGGCAGGCCATTCATATGCAATAGCCAATGTGCACAGCTTGGGTGGGGTTGTAAATTGGGTGGGGCGAGGTCTCTGGGAATCACCAGGGCACAGAACTAACATCAATGGCTGCCAGTCAGCCCTGAACTGGAGAGGTCCCCGGGTCTCTGCATCCCACGCCCCTGTGCAGGAACAATGATCACTGTGAGCACCTCTGAGAGAAAGCTGCCCTCACGTTCCTGTCCGTATGCCAGACAGTCCAGTTTCTTCCCATATGTGTCTGGGTCCCCAGAGTCTTGCCCAGAACTGAAGTTCAGAGCAAGCGGGAGCTTGTATCTCCCTCCTGATTAAGAGCAGCACATCCAGGTGCCAGCACTTTCTGCACCTCTGCACCTCTTACTAGTCTCAATGAGCTTTCTTCATCTCTCTAGTTGTGGAACTTCTACTCAGCCAGCTTTCCTGCAGTTCTGGGTGGTAGTTGTTCTGCCTTTTAGTTGTAATTTTGATGTGGTTGTGAGAGGCAGCAAGTATAGGTGTTTACCTATGCTGCCATCTTGGTTCTATCTCCTCTTTACATTATTTTTATTTTCATTTACCTGTTTCTTTTCAGGAAAACAGAAGTTTTAGTCTAAAGTAACATAGAAGTAGAAACTGGCCCAAGTGAAAGGCGACTGGAATGTGTGGGGATGTGGCAAACCTGAGAGCACCTGTCTTGTTTGCAGGCCCTGATTCAATGTACAAGACTCCACAGGCCTGACCTGTCTGCAGGGACCTGTGTTGTTCTGTCTGGCAGAAACCATGTCAGTCATGTTCTGAACACTAAGCAGCCTGGCTGGGTGGGGTCCTCAAAGAACTCCCTTAAGGTAGGTAGGGGGATGCTTCATATGTGGGCAAAGGGGATTGGTGGGAACTGATAGGATGCTAGCTTTCCTTTCCATTTAAAGCTTCCTTGGAAAGTTTCTGTTCTCGGGCTTACCACCAGGCTTTATCCCTTCCAAGGGGCCTAAATCATAAAGTGCAATCATTCCTTAATTGCCAGTGCTTCCCTGAGAAGGAAGAGAAAGGAATTCTGTGGGGCAATGTCTTGAATTTAGTGAAGCCAAATATGAAGCAACCAACAATCATGAGTCCAGGATTGGTCTGACTGTTTCTTTTAGAGGTTGCCATTTAGCTGTTGACTTCTTTTAGATATTGACTTTCAGTTGTGATAAGATCAAAACTGGGCTACGGAACTATAAATGAAGCACACCTTTTAAACAAATCCATTCATGCCCTAGCCATTTTTGGCTTACTGGATAGAGCTTTGGCCCACAAATTGAAGGTCCCAGGTTCCATTCTGGTCACGGGCAAGTACCTTAGTTGCAGGCTAGATCCCATGTGTGAGAGGCAACCAATCAATGTGTCTCTCTCACATCAATGTTTCTCTCTGTCTCTCCCACTCCCTTCCACTCTAAAAATCAATGGAAAAAATATCCTTGGGTGAGGATTAACAGCAACAACAAAAATTCATTCACTGGAACCAGGATGACCCTTTTGTTGTCAATTAAAATAATTGGTTTGCTTTCCTTTGGAAAAACACACACACTAAAAGTATAAATGTAAAGAATTACTTTATTGAGGAGCTTTTAGGGGAAAAAAAAAGGAAAGCTCTCACAAACAGTCTTCAAGGAAATAGCTTGGTGCCTAATATAAGTAAATGAAGACAATTTGGGGGAAATGAATGTAATAAGAATACTTTTTAAAAAAGTAGTTGACAAGCAATTTAATATG